AGCCAACCATGACAGGATTCCTAATAGCCAAGCTGGACAATGTAAGCAACAAAATAAATACTGTGTTACCCAAAATATAAAATATACATGAGTCCACACCGATGTAAACAAATCAGGGTGGGAGGGAGAGACAAATTTTCCATACAGAAAAATTCCAAGTACTATCTATGGATATTCCCATTTCCAGGAGGTTGAATGTAATCTTCACCACCCACCACCTCCCATGACTGGACTTAGTAACTGTTTTCCAAAGAACCAAAGTACAGAAAGGGAAAATAAACAGTAATTTTCAGCAGCGAAAACCAACAGACACTACCTTAACCAAGTGTCCAAAGTTAATACACCATCAAGCTGATAGCATGTAACTCCTGACATGATGCAGTGAGAAGGACCTTCACCTCTGATATTCTTCCTAAAAATTCACAACCCCATTCTAATATTGAGGAAAACATCAGACAAACCCAAATTGAGGCATATTCTACAAAAACACCTGACCAGTACTCCTCAAAACTGTCAAGGTCATGAAAAACACAGACAGACTGTGGAACTATCCCAGACCGGAGGCTGATTAGGCATGATGGCCAATTCAGTGTGGTATCCTAGACTGGATCCTGGAAAAGAAAAATGGCAATAAAAAAACTAGTGCAATCTGAAAATAAAGTCAAGTTCCATTAACAGTAATTACCAATGTTGGTTTCTGAGCTTCTGACAAATGCTTCATGTTAAATAAAAGGTTAACATTGGGAGAAATGAGTGAGAGGTACACAGAAGCTCTCCACATATCTCTGCAACTTTTCTGTAAATCTAAAATTATTCCAAGTTTTTTTTTTTTAATCTGAATTTAAAAAACTTTCTACTGATTTTTGTGTAATTTGTGATCATGAATTAATTATATTTTATAAAGATAGAGTTTGTTCTTTTGAGAAAGCCAATGCTGCTAAGAAAATCCATGAATTCATTACAAGTTTAAAGTTACTTGGACAAGTATTTCAATAATAAACATTGATAAACCATTAAGTTGTTTTTAAGACAAGAGTTTCACTCTGTTGCCCAGGCTGGAGTGCAGTGGCACAATCTTGGCTCAATGCAACCTCTGCCTCCTGGGTTCAAGTGATTCTCCTGCCTCAGCCTCCCGAGTAGTTGTGACTACAGGCATGTGCCACCACGCCCGGCAAATTTTTGTATTTTTAGTAGATGGCATTTCGCTATGTTGGCCAGCTGGTCTCAAACTGCTGACCTCAAGTGATCCACCCGCCTCAGCCTCCCAGACTGCTGGGATTACAGCGTGAGCCACTGCACCCAGCCGATAAACATTAAGTGTTAATAATGGGTTACAAAACTGTACCTTTTATAAAGCTTTGAAATAAATTATCAATTGAGAGTTCCAAACATTTAAATGGAATCCCAGTATGCTCAATTAGCCACAAGGCATACATTTGTCTTGTCTCAGTAGAACAGACCAATTCAAGTTGGACGATACTAGGTTCCTGGCAATGACACATCTCCAAAGTGAGGAACACGGCCCTTTCTCCAGAAAATATTTTTTCTTCTGCCCTGTTCTAACCGTAACGACTTACAAAGAACCACCTCTCCGTATGCTGTGCTTCTGTAACTTTGGAAAGTCAGTTCATCTTACTAACTTTGGCCATGGGTTACCCAAAGGCTACATATGGCTTGAGGGCCTGCGCCAGGGAAAGGTTAACAACCAGCCGTAAGCAAAGACCACTCTAGGAACAAAACTGAGCATTCCAAGAGATTGAAAAGTTTTCAACATTCATAGACATCTTCAGAAGCTGCTGAAGTTTCCTGGGATTTGCTCTAAACATATGGTAATAATTTTCAATGTAAATAAGTCATTTATGTTTTGCCTTTTACATCCCTTTGGCTCCAGTTAAAGGTTTTTTAAAAAGCAGTATCAAGCACAAATTTTAGTAAGACCACAGTTAGTAAAAGGTTACAGTCTTTAAAAATCTATTATAAGGAACAAGTGCTGGGAAATAAATATCAAAGCATAACAGCAAATAGCGCCTTGATGAATTATGTTAAATATCTTTTCCTTTATCTCATCAAGTCCATCTTTACTCCAATTTGGCAAAGGTTATAGCAAAATATGACATTTATCATGTGAGTAGCTCATAAAATGAGAGTGGCTATACTTCTGAATTGCGTTCACATCACCTTCAAGGCATATGACATTTAGATATCCTGGGTTGGCTCTCTACAAGGTTATCAGCTGATGGTTCCAAATTTTACAACTGGAAAAATGAAAACCTTGTCCTTGTAAGTAGTCCTAACAGAAATGTGACTTACTCATATGCTTAATGGGCTACAGAGAAACAACAAACATTATGCTGTATTTTAATTACATATGTGTAATTAAAAGAGACAAAAAATTTTAAAAAGTCCGTTCCTTCTAGGCTTAAACGTGTATTTAAAATTTCGTAGTAAACAAATATTTGTAAGTGATGTTTTTCCTATATTTCCAAATCAGATAATGTTGAACAGACCTTATAATGAATTTTATATTTGATTTCTCTTTGGTAAATATAGGTGTGAAAACTGAGTTATATATTCTTCTATTCAAAAATTCTCCCCTTAATGAGCACTTGTTTTTGATACTGGTCAAGACATTTGGCATACTAAGGGAGCAGTGCCCAGGAAGATACCTGAGAAGACAAGCGTGCCCTCCCCTTATTATCTCCCTTTTATTCTTTTTTTTTTTTTTTGAGACGGAGTTTCGCTCTTGTTATCCAGACTGGAGTGCAATGGCGTGATCTCGGCTCACTGCAACCTCCGCCTCCTGGGTTCAGGCAATTCTCCTGCCTCAGTCTCCTGAGTAGCTAGGACTACAGGTGTGTGCCACCACGCCCAGCTAATTTTTGTATTTAGTAGAGATGGGGTTTCACGATGTTGGCCAGGATGGTCTCGATCTCTTGACCTCATGATCCGCCCGCCTCAGCCTCCCAAAGTGCGGGGATTACAGGCACGAGCCAGTGCGCCCAGCCCTTAAATTTGCATTTTGAGGGATTACAGGCATGCGCCACCATGCCCAGCTAATTTTTTGTATTTTTAGTAGAGACGGGGTTTCACCATGTTGACCAGGATGGTCTCAATCTCTTGACCTCGTGATCCACCGCCTCGGCCTCCCAAAGTGCTGGGATTACAGGCTTGAGCCACCGCGCCCGGCCATCTCCCTTTTTTTCTTTGAGGTTTTAAGATCAAGATATAAGTTATTTTAAGGTCTCAAAATAATCCTTTCACAAAAATAAAGACAGTTTTATGTTGTAAAAACATTAGTTATTTGTCAAAGGTTATGTTCTTTGGTCTTCTTCCATCACCAGCTGTCAGCATCTCCTAAAGATCGGTTTTTTCTTCATAATGACACCTGCATGCGGCTCGCTGGCTGTCCAGATATGGTTTACAACCTAAATGTATAACACTGTCAAACAAGAGCTCCACTGTTGTTTCACAGGCTGCAAAATAAGAAAATGTGATTACTGTTGGGCCACTGCAAAGCACGGCTCTCTCTTCACCTATGTTACACATTACAGCACAGCAACAAGCACATCCTAGTGAGCACTGAAATGTATGCTAGATCAAAGTCACCAAACTGTCACAAGCCAGTAGCATATTTACATACATACACGTATCTACAGACTTCCAGTTTTAGTCTTGTTATCATGCATCTTAGTTTTTGTTGGCATTCAACTGTTCAACCCAATTGTTTTTTTTAAGACAGGCTCTCACTCTGACACCCAGACTGGAGTGTCATGGTGCAGTCACAGCTTACTGCAGTCTCAACATCCTGGGCTAAAGTGATCCTTCCACCTTAGCCTCCTGAGTAGCTGGCACTATCATGGCCAGCTAATTTTTAATTTAAATTTAATTCTTAATTGTAAACAGACATGACCTAACCCAGCTATTTTTTTTTATTTTTTATTTTTAGTAGAGATGAGGTCTCACTATGTCGCCCAGGCTGGTCTCAAACTCCTGGGCTCAAGCAATCCTCCCACCTTGTCTTCCCAAAGTGCTGGGATTACAGGCATGGGCCACCATGCCTGGCCCAATTGTTTAAACTAGACAAATATGTCTTTTAAAATAGCACTGATTAATCAGTGTTAACTTTCTTTTTATTTGAAAAACATAATCACTAAGAGATATGTCTGATAATACTCTTAAATTTTCATTTTCTGTTGTTGTTGAGACAGAGTCTCGCTCTGTTGCCAAGTGCCAGGCTGGAGTGCAGTGGCGCGATCTCGGCTCACTGCAATCTCCGTCTCCTGGGTTCAAGCAATGCTCCTGCCTCAGTCTCCTGAGTAGCTAGGACTACAGGTGTGTGCCACCACGCCCAGCTAATTTTTGTATTTAGTAGAGACGGGGTTTCACGATGTTGGCCAGGATGGTCTCGATCTCTTGACCTCCTGATCCGCCCGCCTCAGCCTCCCAAAGTGCGGGGATTACAGGCACGAGCCAGTGCGCCCAGCCCTTAAATTTGCATTTTGAGAAAAGATGTTTTATGTGCAGAAGAAACAAAGCCTAAAAATTGAAACCTCAAAACATTTCATTATGGCCAATGGCTTCTGAGGACTGATCATATATCAGTTAAGAGGTGTAAAGTAAATGGAACCCAGTCTCTTTGACCAATGTACAAATTTGACTTGGGGGCACAGGAGCATAAAAGTATTTTTCCCTAGTCAGGTTTATTTTATCTATTTATTTTTTGAGACAAAGTCTCACTCTGTTGCCCAGGCTGAAGTACAGTGGCATGATCTTGGTTCACTGCAACATCTGCCTCCTGGGTTCAAGTGATCCTTCCACCTCAGCCTCCTGAGTAGCTAGGACTACAGGCACCTACCACCACGTCCAACCAATTTTTCTATTTTTTTCTGTTAGAGACGGGGTTTCACCATGTTGGCCAGGCTGCTTTCAAACTCCTAGGCTCAAGTGATCCACCAGCCTCAGCCTCCCAAAGTGCTGGGATTACAGGCGTGAGCCACTGCATCCAGCCCCAGTCAGGTTTTTAAATTTTTTTTAAGACTATAAAAAGGTAATTTATTTACTTTTCTTATTTTAAGAAACCTGAAACATCCAGGTGAGATTATCTTAATGTGTTACACTTACAGAGCTATAGCACAGAGTGGCTTTTAGTTATCCAAAAACTTTTCATTTCAAAGATATATGTTAACGAAGAAACTTTTCATTACAAAATCTTAACATTTGCAAAGTTCTCCAAAAGACTGCCATTAAAAACCAACCAACCACAGGAGTGCAGAGGCTATGACTATTAAATAGGAGGTTACAAGATAATTGGTTTCACATCCTCCTTAAATCAGAAACAAGAAATTCTATGCTTCAGAAGTTCATAGCCGGCTTACCTTAGCCAAAAGCTGCAAAGGGATACAGGGGCTGTGAATTCAAGATTACCTGCAGCAGAGATTTCTTCCTTGACATGAATTATTGGGATATTAGAATTAGGGTTACAGTGTGAGACTATTTGGAGAATATTGTGAAATAGAACACAGATTTTAAAGTCAGATAGGCTAAATGCTCACTTGGGGCAAGTTACTGTATTCTAAACCTTTGTTTCTTTCCTTGAAAAATGGTAATAACACCACCTACCTCTTTAGGTTTTTGTTGGTGTCAAATGAAAACATGAATAAAGTGTCTAGCACAGTACCTTATGATAAGTGCTTAAAATGTTATTTTCCTTTCCCACCTTGCCTCTTCTGATTGCGGTGTATGGTATGTTCTTTGGCTTGACAGTAGAGAAATCTTGTAACTACTAGTATTTGAATGGTGATTTACTTGTATTTCCACAAATACTTCATTTCATTCTTATGACAACTCTATGAAGTGAGTATTATCATTCTCCTCATTTTAAAAATGACACCAAAGGGCCCTTTCCCTTTGCTAGTTTGGCTTCGTATCACTTCAACATAATATATCATGGCAGGGAGTATATATGCTGAGTCCTGTGAGTCCTCTTAGTGAATCACTGAACCTGGGGGTCATCTGGGGACCTTGCCAACAGAAAGGAGTGTTAAGTCTTCCAGAAATTCCTACTCCAAATCCAGTGTGTTAAACGCTTAAATTCGCTGGTGGTATGGTCTGAATGTTTATGTCGCTCCAGAATTCATGTTGAAATCCTCACCTCCAAAGTGAGGAAATAGAAGGTGAGGCCTTTGGAGGTGTTTAAGGTCAAAAGGATGGCGAGTATGATTAGTGCTCTTAAAAAAGAGGCCCCAGAGAGCTATCTAGTCCTCTCCATTAAGTGATGACACAGTTGGAAGGCATCTTCTACGAACTAGAAGATGAGTCCTCATCCTATACCAAATCTGCTAGTGCCTTGATTGTGGACCTCCCAGCGTCCAGAACTGTACAAAATAACTTTCTGTTGTCTATAAGTCGCCCAGTCTATGGTAGCAGTCCAGACGGACCAAGACAACTGGAATCAGAGTTTCAAACTTTAGCTACTTCAGGTTCTTACATAATGACTGGACATATATTTCAGGGCACAAGGTAGATGAATTCTTCTCTCTCTCAGCCTTAGACACCCCCACTCTCCCAAGGTTTCCTAATGCTTTTTGCTTCTGTGACTATAAATCATTTTAAGTTACAAAATCATCAGCTCTTCACCCCAGAAAATTGAAGTCTGTGTCACAACAGATAATATATGCGAACATTTTCTATTGGCAAATCCTATACTAAAACATAAAGCATTTGATAAAACTTTAAAAAGTATACTCATTCCCAAGCGGCCAGATCCTTACCCTGAACATGCTGAGTTAGTCCTAGTGTTTTCTGTACATCTCGGCAGATCTTGGAGAGGCAATACTGGAACTCCTCGTCGCAGTCATTCTTGCTTTTGCCACAGGTCTCATAGCACCTATCGTGTTGGTTGCAGCATTTTGTCAGGGAAGGGATACCAATGTTAAGCTGAAAGAGGCAGTTGGATGGATTACTGTCAATGAAATGCTAAACTCCTCTGCTGAAGTACCGCATTCAAATAGACTAAATGGATACAAATGACAATGACTGCCGTATAGATAGTTCCAAACTTCGTTTCTGCCCATTACACTTACCCATACCCACCCACGTTACTCTCTCAGCCATGCCTCACTGCTCCCTATTCTGCAGCATTAGAGCACTCAGTTACCTGTCAGTAACTAACACAACTTCCATTTATCCAAAACACAAAATGTAGTTTTAAAAACAGAAAGATAAGGCTAAGTCTATTAAAGAGACCCCAAGGGCTAAGCAAGTATGCTTTTTCGATATTCAAAGTGTTTTGTGGCCTCTTTTTTCAAATAAAATTGACTTTATGTGAAATATCACAGAAAACTTTCCTATAACTCAAATTTTGTTTTTTTTTTATCTTTACTTCTCCATTCCCCAAAGATACTATTATTCTGAATCTATAATTTCAATTATTTTAAATAACTTTATATATCAAATCCTTGTGTATAGGAATCATTCTCATAAACATTTTTTCCCATAATTCTTGGCTTAGATCCCATCTTTCCTACAACAACCACACAGCTATCCCACTTAGCCTTGTTTTAATGTAGAAAACATGGTTTATCTATACTTTTTCCCTCTAAGTAGTATTACTTCTGTACTCCAAACTTTTCAACTATGTATATTAGGAAATATCATTAAAATAGTATTAACATCTATAAGATTCAAAAATAAAACAATTTACTTCATTTACTTTTGTTAGAAGTTTTGCCAGAAAGAATCTAATAAACCTGATCACTATGACAACCAGCTAAATTATTTGTGTATCTGAGAACATGGTGGTAGTCTTATATCTCCCAAAAGTATTACATAATTTACCAGTCATAAAATTTATCAAATAAAAGACAATATTTACATGAACACCAAACAGTGGAGAGCCACATCCATTCGGTGGGGAGGGTTTATAACCATAACGTGGGAAAGGCTTAGATCCTATAAAATATAAATGATATCATAATTAATTTTCAAACATGATAAAAATAAAATACATACTCAAAAACGTCCACAATATGCTAGACTTGCCTTAGAAATATTTAGTATTTATTTGGATGCTAACATATTTGTCTTTATTCTGATGAGCATTAAGAATGCTAATTTGACTATTTTTATTTCTCCTGTGGTGAGGAATATATACAATGTCCACATATATAAATATACACATATATAGCAGTTCATAAAATGTAATTATTTGTACACCTATGCCACACAAAACATACAAAAGCTTACTCTGGACTTCTGGAGATTTGAGAGGTCACTTGCCAGATGGGGTCCATATGTATGAAAGATAAATCCACCCTGTTTTCCTGTACATTCCAACACTTTATATTTTTAGAGCTAAGACAGTATCTTCCCAACCTCCCACAAATGCTTCATTGCATACAAACCTCAATAACCATTAACTAACCAGTTTACCTGGCCTAAGGCTAAGGAAGACAAGGTCATCTGATGATCATTTAATAACCTTAGTACTACAAGACATTACAGGACCACACATGCTGCCTGATGCCCTCCCACCCAGTCAACCATTCCACAAATATGGTCCTTTTTTAAGGAAAAGGTTAGGAGGGATACCTGGTGAACTACGGAACTTCTGGAATATCGTAGTTCTAATGAAGTACTTCTAATGAACAGAAGATTTGGAAGGCTAATGCTCCCCAGTAGCATCAAGGGTTCAGTAACAAGGAGAAAGATGACATAATCGTAGCAATCTTAAATTTTGAAGGGTATTTCAGAAACATCTCACCTGATTTAATACAGGCTTACCTCAGAGATATTGCAGGTTCAGTTCCAGACAGTCACAATAAAGCCAATATAACAATAAAGTGAGTCACACACGTTTTTTGGTTTTCCAGTGCATATAAAAGTTTTGTTGGCTGGGTGTGGTGGCTCACACCTGTAATCCCAACACTTTGGGAAGCTGAGGCGAGTGGATCACAAGGTCAACCTGGCCAATATGGTGAAACCTCTCTCTACCAAAAATACAAAAATTAGCTGGGTGTGGTGGCAGGTGCCTGTAATCCCAGCTACTCAGGAGGCTGAGGCAGGAGAGCCGCTTGAACGTGGGAGGTGGAGGTTGCAGTGAGTCAAGATCACGCGATTGCACTCCAGACTGGGCGACAGAGTGAGGCTCTGACTAAAAAAAAAAAAAAAAAAAAAAAAAAAAAAAAAAAAAAAAGTTTTGTTTACACTATACTGTAGTCTATTAAGTGCTCAACAGCATTGTCTAAAAAATCAATGTACAGACCTTAATTTAAAAATACTTTATTGCTAAAAAATGCTGACACAGAGATAATAAGTGAGCACATGCTGTGGGAAATATGGCACCGATACACTTGCTTAATGTAGGGTCACCGCAAACCTTCAATTTGTTTAAAAAACAACCACAATTATCTGTGAAGTGCATTAAAGCAAAGCACATTAAAATGAAGTATGCTTGTGTAAAAATCAGTTCAACCTATCAGCCATCTACTATCTTTTTGAATGTTTCTCACAATCCTCCTATATCAAGAAATAACCTATTCCACTGTTTAATGACATCAACTAAGACCTTCTGCCTTCTTGTAAGTTCTACTCATAAACAATCTTCTGCCCCTTGGGGAAACAGAAAAATAAGCCAACTCCCTATTTTACACAATAATCCTTTCAAATATTTGGGGCTGCAATTTATCTTTCTTTCTAAAATGAGATATTCCCAGGTATTTTACCCTAAGACATGGCAGTTTGCAAATACAACCTCACAGTTGGATACATAGGATTGACACAAAGTATTCTACCAACTTTCATTTAACTAACATTTATTGGTAGGAGACTTAAACAAAGACAAGGTTACCCTCCAAAAGTAAATTGAGGGTAAAAAACAATGCTTTCAGTAACCATCAAAATAAGTAATTCCTCAAAGTAATGATTGAAAATGGTTTCAGGCCAGCATGGGGGCTCATGCCTGTAATCCCAACACTTTGGGAGGTAAAACTGCCCGAGCCCAGGATTTCAAGACCAACCTGGGCAATATGAGACCCTGTCTTCATTAAAAAAATAAAAAATAAAAAAAAGAATTAAAAAAAAAAAATTAAAAAAAGGGAAAAAATGGTTTCAGTGAGTTGCTCAGAAGTTCCATGCTCAACTGAGGTCACCGCATATAGCCTCCGTTGGGTAGTACAATCTCATGAAGATATAAAGCTACAGTCTGGTAGGGTGTGGTGGCTCATGCCTATAGTCTCAGCCCTTTGGGAGGCTGAGGTGGGCAGATCACCTGAGGTTGGGAGTTCAAGACCAGCCTGACTGACATGGAGAAACCCCGTCTCTACTAAAAATACAAAATTAGCCGGGTGTGATGGCACATGCCTGTAATCCCAGCTACTCAGGAAGCTTACGCAGGAGAATCACTTGAACCCGGGAGGTGGAGGCTGCGGTGAGCCCAGATCATGCCATTGCACTACAGTCTGGGCAACAAAAGTGAAACTGTGTCTCAAAAAAACAAACCATTAAAAAGGTATAGCCTGCTCTGCCAATGCTAAAGGAGCAATGTATACAAAAAGGAATGGTTAAGATGAGTCTAGAAAGCGGAAGGCCAATGACAGCACTTGGTCTTGTTTCTCCAGCCCTGTCCAAGAGGAAAGATTGTTTCTGGACCCTTGCAAGATGAGGGTAGATGGCTCAGACTATCACACGCTAGTCACCACGATCCTTCAATTATTATCTTCTTTAGTCCTTCATTCCATTTTTTTTTTTTTTTTTTTTTTTTTTTTTTTTTTTTTTTTTTTTTTTTTTTTTTTTTTTTTTTGAGATGGAGTCTCGCTTTGTCTCCCAGACTAGAGTGCAGTAGCCTGATTCTGGTTCACCGCAAACTCCGCCTCCTGGGTTCAAGCTATTCTCCTGTCTCAGCCTCCCAAGTAGTTGGAATTACAGGTGTGTGCCACCACTCCCGGCCAACTTTTGCATTTTTAGTAGAGGCGGGGGTTTCACCATGTTGGCTGAGCTGGTCTCGAACTCCTGGCCTCGTGATCCACCCGCCTTGGCCTCCCAAACTGCTGGGATTATAGGTGTGAGCCACCGCGCCTGGCCCAGTCTTTCATTCCTAAGAAAACAGTTTATGATTTGGCTTCCTACTTACAAGGGCCTACAGAGGAAGGACATACTAACCATAAACACTTGGATGTTCAGTGGGCATCTCAAGTGTCCCTCCTGACATTTACCTCAAACTTGCTCCATTCACAGTTCCCTGTTTTCAGTTAATGGTGACTCTGTCCTTCCAGGTGCTCAGAGCAAAATGCCAGTCATTTTTGTTTACGTTCTTACATTCTTATACCCCACATTCAATCCAACAGTGTATCCTGTTGACTCAACCTTCAAAATATTCAGAATCTAATCACTTCTTACCACTTCCACTACTTCCATCCTGCTCCAAGCCACAATGGATTATTGCTGTAAACTCCTAACTAGTTGCCCTACTTTGGTTCCCCTGCCCCACACTAACCCGCATAATCCAATCTCAACACTGAGCATGAGTGATCTTATTAAAATACATTAGAGCAAGTCTTTCTTCTGCTCATAACCTTTCCAATGGCTTCTCATCTTATTCAGAACAAAAGCCAAAGTCTATACAGCCTATAAAATCCTGTATAACCTGGTCCTCCCATGATTTCTCTGACCTCATCCTCTTTCTATTCTCTCTCTTGCTTTCGTCCTCAACCCATTCCTCTTTGCTGTTCCACAGACATTGCAGGTCTGCTCCTGCCCCAGGGTCTTCAAACCTGCTCTTGCTGTATATGGATGCTCTTTCTCCTGATAGTACATAGTTTCTCTTTTACTGCTATGGTTTGAATGTTTGTGTCACTCCAAAAATGCATGTTGAAACCTAATTACCAATGTAATGGTATCAGGAGATGGGACTGTTAGAGGTGATTAGGTCGTGTGGACATATCCCTCATGAATGGAATACGTGCTCTATAAAAATGGCCCTAAAGAGCTGCCCTTTCCCATCTACCACCATGTGAGGACACAGCTAGAAGGTGCCATCTACCTACAAGGAAGTGGACCCATACCAGATACTGAATATGCCAAATGCTCCATCTTGGACTTCACAGCCTCCAGAACTGAGGAATAAATTTCCATTGTTTATAAGCCACCTAGTTTAAGGCATTTTGTTATAGCAGCCTGAATAGACCAAGACATTCATCTTCTCAGCAAGGCTTCCCTGGCCATACTATTTGTAGCACATATGACCTTCTAACATACTATATCACTAATCTACTTACTAATCTACTTATTTTATTATGCCTCCCCATACTAAAATGTAAACTCCTTGAGAGCAGACATTTTTGTGTTTTGAATTCCCAATGCCTAGAACAGGGCCTGGAATAAGTATGTGATGATTTTTTGCAATAAGTACATGATAAATTAATGAAGAGAGGACTTGGAAGGCTAATTTCCATGGCGGTTAGAATATTCATTATAAATGGAGATTACTCATTGAGAAATCCTGCTGTTTACCCTTCAGTCTCTTTTGAGTTTGGTGAGCATTCATCAACCTCCAAAGACTGATCACTTCTAGCTTGTCACATCTCTTTAAAATATGGCACCTAAAACTAAATATTGTAGGGAAAGATGGGCTTAACCTTTCAAGCTGGATAAAGTACTTGTATTAACGCAGCCTAACATAGTATATGTTTCAGCTGTGCCTCACTGCAAACATACATCAGACAGTAGTAAAAAAAATCATCAGTTCTAAAATGGACTTTTTAATATCCACTGCTAGAGGCTTAGCACTTCTGCAATTTAAGTTTGAGCCTAAAGATAAGATTGTATATAATAAGATTCAGTTGAGTTTCAGTTCGCCATTCTCAACTGCTCAGCAGTTTTAAATCTAGAGCTATTGACCCAGTGTTACCTGTTGCTCCCGGATGTTCACAAACTTCAGATGTAGGTATTAATCA